GAGAGGAGGAGGAGGAGGAAACCTGAGGCCCGATGATGAGCTCCTTGACCTCATTGAGGGAGAGATGACGAGTCTCCACCTGCCCAGCCATGAGCAGCAAACGGAGGAAGGAAAGAGGGGGGGAGGAAATGAAGTGTTGGAGGAGGAGAAGAGGAGAAGTGGAGGACCAGAAGGGTAAGAGTAAAGATGGTGGAGATTATGGGAGAGGAGGAGAGGAGGTCAAGAACGAGTGGCAAGAGGGCGAGGAGAGTGAAAGGAGAGCGAAACGATGATCAAAGAGCATGAAAGGAGGAGGAAGCTCATCCTCTGACCTCGTTAACTGCACAAAGAGAGTCGCCAAGCTTCACCAGATCCGTCCTGACAAGAAACCAGATCAAAGGAGGATCGGAGAGCAGAAGAGGAGGGGAGGAAGGAAGCGGGGGAGAGTGGAAGGGAAGAAAGGTGAGAAACGAGACAGAAAGGAAGCAGAAAAAGAACAGGTAGAAGATCAGGGTAAGACATTGTATGAGAGTTTACCTCAATCTTCCATCATCTGCAGAGACGAGAGCTTGAATGTAGAGGACGGAGAAAGGAAAGTGTTCCTCTGACAAGAGAACATTCAGATGGTAGGGAGAGGAATGAAGGGATGATTAAGAGAAAAGATAACCTATCCTCATTCCAACTCCTTTCCAACTGCAAAGAGAAACATGGGTCATGTTCCTTCATGTCAAGTCCCATACCGCCAACCTCCTGCGAAGAGCGACGCTTGCTGACTGCACTTCCCGTAGTCTCCTCTCTGCTTCTGCAATCTTTTGTCGACAGTCAACCCCTCTTGTTTGCTGTCGAACAAAACATCGCCCTCACTTTGTTGTTGCCCATCATTGCTTCGTTCCTCATGTTGGCGATCTCCCGAGCAAGCGCAAGATCTGCAGTGAGCAAATCTTCCTGTGATGACAAAGGGGAGAGTGAGCTCAGACAGGCTGAAGGTGACGCTGCTACCGTCTTCCTTGCTACGAGATCGTTCTCGTTGTTCCTCAGGATCATCTCTTGCCTCTGTTCAGAATGTCTCATCTCAACATCAGTTGGAGGTGTAAGCAGCGGCAAACCTCGAGCTGTTTCCGAGACTGCAATGAAGTTTCCTTCTCCAGCCTTTTCCTCAACTCTGCATGAAGCCTTCAGTCAGACCTCCTACCACAAGAGCAGAATCACCTTCTGCCTCCGCCTTGCTCGCTCTCAGCTCCTCTTCTAGGGTCCTTCGTGCCTGCAACTGCCCGCGAGCAAAGAGGTCAGGAAGAGGTTGCCGCAAGAAAGCACAGAAATGCAACGAAGCATCAACGATTCGGGGGCAAACAAGAAGGATTGCTCGATGACAAGGAGCGATCACAAGTCAAGTCATGAGAAACCAGAAGCAAGATGAAGAAGAGTTCTGCTTGCTGACCTCCAGCTCAGCTTGTCTCCCAGACTCCATCGCCATCTTCATAAGCCGCTCATTCTCATTTTCCATCTTCTGCTTCTCAAGCTTCTGCTCCTCCTCCATCCTAGTGATCCGGTCGGAAAGATCGTCGAAACGTTTCAATAGGGTGGACAGCATCTCCTCGTCAAACACAGTTCCAAGACACTGACTGGTCCCATCATGATACAACTTCCTTGCTGCCTCTACCTTGCCCGACATCAGAAGGTCATCAGCTTCTTGTACGAGACCATCTAGCCACGACATCAATGATTCGCGAGCCTTTAGTTGCTCCTCCTCCTCGATCTGCCCCGCCAGCGCCTTCAGCTCCCTCTGCTTGTCTGCACCGGCCTTCTCGTACTCGCTCGTTGCCTGCCGTACAAGCTCCCGTGCTGCCTCTACCTCCCCTGACCCCAGCGCTGTCTCCGCCTTCTTCATCAGCTCGTCTCCCTCCTTCACAAGCGCCGCCCGCCTCCTCGCCTCCTCTGCCTCCTCGATCTGCCCCGCCAGCGCCTTCAGCTCCCTCTGCTTGTCTGCACCGGCCTTCTCGTACTCGCTCGTTGCCTGCCGTACAAGCTCCCGTGCTGCCTCTACCTCCCCTGACCCCAGCGCTGTCTCCGCCTTCTTCATCAGCTCGTCTCCCTCCTTCACAAGTGCCGCCCGCCTCCTCGCCTCCTCTGCCTCCTCGATCTGCCCCGCCAGCGCCTTCAGCTCCCTCTGCTTTGTCTGCACCGGCCTTCTCGTACTCGCTCGTTGCCTGCCGTACAAGCTCCCGTGCTGCCTCTACCTCCCCTGACCCCAGCGCTGTCTCCGCCTTCTTCATCAGCTCGTCTCCCTCCTTCACAAGCGCCGCCCGCCTCCTCGCCTCCTCTGCCTCCTCGATCTGCCCCGCCAGCGCCTTCAGCTCCCTCTGCTTGTCTGCACCGGCCTTCTCGTACTCGCTCGTTGCCTGTCGTACAAGCTCCCGTGCTGCCTCTACCTCCCCTGACCCCAGCGCTGTCTCCGCCTTCTTCATCAGCTCGTCTCCCTCCTTCACAAGCGCCGCCCGCCTCCTCGCCTCCTCTGCCTCCTCGATCTGCCCCGCCAGCGCCTTCAGCTCCCTCTGCTTGTCTGCACCGGCCTTCTCGTACTCGCTCGTTGCCTGTCGTACAAGCTCCCGTG